GAGAGAGAGAGAGAGAGAGAGAGAGAGAGAGGTGGGAGTTTGGGGATTCAACCACTACTTATACACGAGTAAGGTCATGTTTATGTTATTGTCGCCTAGGGAGATGCCACAATCAAATCTCTTTCCTTGTTATTCCTGTCCAGTTATGGGGTATTCGAAGAAAGCAGTAAACATTTCACTTGTATTGGTTATTATGCGGTAATTATGGTCAGGTAGTGGCAAACGAAAAGATGAATTATTCATTGGAAGGGTCACACATTGGCAAATTAAATTATTGCGTCCTAGATCAAAGTTTTCTTCCTCTTGGGGGTTGTTTTTGATAAATGGTTACTGTCTCTCTGCTTTCCCCTTCTGACCAAATCTACTTCGACCGTTAACAGTGCACAGGACTGATTTGCGGGTCAAAGGAATGGAGAAAAATATAACGACATACCCAGTTGTCAAGTCGTGGGAACAAAATAGTCTCTCTTAAGGACCCGGATTTGGGGGTTTTCCAGAAATTTTGACTTACACCAAAAGTGGGCATGGCATTACCTGTTGGAGAAGTTTGGTTTCATTGGTGTGTATATTTTAGTGAATACACGTAATCCCCGTTTATCTCGGTTGTTTCACGTAATCACTTAAATTTATAGTGATTACGCGAAGTCCCTAAAATTAGACCTATCATTTTACGTGTTTTTACTACTGAGCATTCAGTGAATTCACGTAATAGCCCTGCCACTGTACAGGGATTACGCCTTTTCACTGAAATATTCAGTGATTAGGCGTATTAACTCGATTGATCTACGTGTTCTTACTGTAACATAGATATACCAGCTGGCAAACAAGGAGACAACGTTTGTGTGCCAGTTCTACTTGTTGATCGAGGGAGAGGCGATCCTAGAAATATCATTGGTGTCATAATTGACAGACAAGAAGATAGCCGTAAAAGCTGGTTTGTATTCCAGGAATCAGTTCGATCTGTGCCCTGAGCGTCTTCTGAACGACATAAACACCGAAAAAAATAGTTTCACTGCGTTCGGCGGTGATTTTTCAATCCTCTCCAGGTGGACAAGGCTTCACAAGATGCAACTGTACTGGTGCCAAAAAGTGTAGTTCGAGGCGATGAAAATGCCGTAAAGCTGGTCTCCACTGAAACTCAC